GGCAGGTTCTCTAAGCCATCCCCCTCTCCCTTGCACCTAGAGGGTCTCCCAGGTCTCTCTTATCTTCAGCATCCTGCCCCCACTCCTCCCCAGGGCCGCTGCCTACCTATGCTAGCCTTGCTCAGCGCTTTGAGCAATCCCTCCAGAGAGACTGAGCGGCTGTCATGGAGTCTCCGCAGCAGGGACGGGGGCAGCTGGTAGAGATCCCGGTCCTTCTAGGGGAGAAAAACAAAGAGGGCTGAGGCAGAAGGCTCACACCCCAATCCTCTCACTCTTTTTCCTCAAGAAACAGCCTCTTTCTGAGCCCATCACAGATGAACCTGACATCCTGTTTCCTTCAGGATTTCCTCTTGTTAACACTGGAAGAGCAGTGGGTGCTCCAAGTGTGGCCTGTGGACCCGCAGCTACACCAGCACAGCTGGGGAGCTTGTTAGAAATGCAGACTCTTGGTCCCCTCCCAGGGTCACTGAGACAACTTGTCTCACCAGCCCCTAGGATTCAGATGCACTGTGAGGTTTTAGAAGCCCGGGTGAAGGCACTGCGTCAAACATCCACGTAGGCTGGCCAGCTGTCCTGGTCTGCCTGGGACTAAGGTCTTTCTGGATATGGAACTTTTGGTGCTCAGCTGGGACAGGTGATCACACTATGTCCCAAGCTCACAGAGGACTATCCCTAGGGACCCGTCCCAACTTCTGCCACCTCTCAGTGAGAAGGCCACAGGTTCTTTTCTTCCTGGCACATCACAAACCAATTTTCCCAAGGATGTGTCTGTCCCATTGCATGAGCCATGAATCCCCCTACTCCCAGAAAGGCCCATCAGGCAGAGCAGGTGTCCTCTGGGCTGTGCTCCATGACCGAGTCACAGACAGAAGCCAGTCCTGGGAGGGTAGTAATCGGCAGCTGGGGCGCTCCTACAAGCCTGAGATTGGCCCCCTCCACTGTCTGAGGATGTTTCTTTCCCTGTTCTCTCTCTCTCTCTCTCTCTCTATCTATCTATCTATCTATCTATCTATCTCCATGGCTTTTGGCCTCTGGTTTCTTTCTTCTCCTGTCTGCCCTGGATGTAGAATTTAGGAAGGAGACACACCCAGAATGCTGCCCCGTCTTATACCCTCAGCTGTCCCTGTGGTTGTTTTCAGCCACATGGGCACAGCAGGGTGATGGGCACCCCCACCCCCATTGTTGCAGCTGCAGAGACGATGATGACAATGACAGCGTTGGAAGAGTCTCACCTTCAATCCAGGCAGTGCTTCTCTCCCCAGAGCCCAGTTTCTCAGGCTGCTATGCACACACGTACTCCCTCCTGGTGGCCCAAGCACAGGTGTGTTCACCCTCTTCCTGCCCCAACTTTCCTCATCCTCACAGACCCTCGGGGGACGGGGGTAGGAGCACAATCCGTCTTTCATTGACGTAGAAACCTCGAGCACATCTGATTGCCCGAGGTCCTGGAGCAAATTTGTCTCAAAGAAGCTCAGGGGTTCTAATCGTTTCAGGCTGGAACTCTGGCTCCAAACACAGTCTGGCTCCTTTTCAACACTCCCGGGGTGTTTTCTGAATGGGCTCTGGTTTTATTGGGGGGGATCTGGGGATCTGCTGCCACCTACAAGGCTGGCTGGTGACCTCTCTCTCAGCCCAGCGACCGGCTTCCCAGGCAGCCACTTTTCTGAAACAGTTAGAATACTCTGCCCACCTCTTGTAATGAGATGCTAAACAGATCTGAGCTAGAGAGGCCATTTGACTTCACACGCTGAATTCGTAACAAGTCCCACCTACCATCATTTTGAAAGCATTGGTACCAACATAATTGCTGTCATTTCAAAACCTTGAAAAGATTTCTTCCCGGCTCTCTCCCCACTTCCTGCTCTCCCATCTCCCTGTACCCCTACCCTGACAATTCCTATTCTTCTTAGAGAACTTTTGAACTGTGGACTCCGCCTGGGCTTTCTGTTTTCTTATCCTGACTAAGCAGAGAATAGGACAAAGGCAGGCAAGGGAGAGGAAAGGAGGGAAGGAGCTGGGATCTTAGAAGCACCTAGGTTACTTAAAATTAGATAAAATAATTCTTTAAAAAAGGGGGAGGGCAGCAGGTTGCATGGTGCTGGATTCCCACCGGGCCAACTTCAGTTCAAATCCTGAATCTGGTGACTTGCTTTCTCACTTTCCCTCTCTCTATCTCTGTCTCTCTCTAGTCAAATTAAAAATAATGATGATGATGATGATGATGATGATGATGAATAAAATTAGATAAAATAATTCTTTAAAAAAAAAAAGAAAAAGAAGCACCTGAGGTTACTGGGGGTGGATGAGCAGAGAACATAAGAACTTATTCGCATTTTGAAAATAGAATAGTACGCATAACTGATAGGTAAAGTAGCATACAAATGGCCCTTTGGAAGGGAAATTCTGAATGTTTTATACCATCTAGGGTGTAGAGGAGACCTGACGCAGAACAGGGACAGAACCTGAGACATACCAGAGACAGCCTTAGCCCTCCCTGACTCGCCCCCAGTACTCTCCGATCACCAGATCACCGTCTTATCAGCCAGCCAAACAGAATATTTACGTGTAGGGCACGTCTTATGTAGAGGGTGCTGAAGACACGCAGAGACAGAGACGCAGAGTTAACCTGAGATGGTGGGAACATGAGAGGACCAGAAAAGCAGAAAAATCTGAAGGGAGAAAAAATGCCCTCTGATGGAGAATGTTTAACCCCCACTGCCACCGCCCCAATGTCCTCCCTACAGCTGTCCAGACGGGCAGAGCCGCAGGTTCTCGTGACGTTCCCAGTACTCTGCCAGGGCGTGTCCTACCTTGCTGTGGCCTCCGCTGGGCACCACCTGCTCCTCTGACTCCTCACAGACAGCCCCAAAGCTCTGAGTCAGGCTGAGGGCCAGGACGGCTGCAAACAGCAGGGTGCTCCTCATGGTGCCTGGGCAGGTAAAGGGGCAGGCCCGGGGAAGGGAGGGAGTGGAGGGTACAACACGGGTGAAAATGCAGGAGGCATTTATGACCAGCAGCTGGCTTGACTCTGGCTTCCCCAGTCCCCAACTCCCCCAGCCATGACCAAGTCCAGAGAGAGAGTGGAAAATAGCTCAGAGCAGGGGCTTCAGCCCTCAGCTCCGGCTCCCTGCTCCCACCAGACATCTCCCAGGGGCATGTTCCGGGCAACGAACAAAGGTGCAGTGGCACCAGGGTGCTCCAGCTCCCAGTGACGATCGACTTATAGGATGTGCTCTGGTCTGTTTCCTTAGCATGAGGAGGCACTCTGGATGCTGTTTTCTGGCACTAAGAACCCCAAGACTTGGGCAAAAACTTACAGGTTTGGAAGAATCAGTCTGCACCCCCAAACTCCAAACATTAACCAGCTGTCGCCCCTCCAGGTGCTTTCTGCCTGCCTGCTCCCCTATGGAAAGCTGCCTGCTCATGTATTCCCTCCTGACTCTGGTCTCTGTCTCTTGATGCCAGCTCCAGTCCATCCAGCATTCTCCCACTCGCTCGTGCCTACCTGTGGAGCAGCTCCAAGCCGGGGCTGGATGGTCTGGCAGAACCAGGGAGCTGGCTGGGAGCACTGCCTGCTCCCCCACACACTCTGGTACTGCTGCAAGGAGAAAACCCGAGTGGAGGGGCTCTGGGGAAGTGCAGGAACTCAGCCCCAGCTCCCTAATATAGGTTCTGGGAGGGTCTGGGGGAGCAGAGAGGAGGGGCTGAGAGTCACCAATCCCAGGGTGGCTGGAGGGGAGGGGAGAGACTGGTGGGGGGAAGGAGGATGCAGACTACAGCAGCCTCACTTTCAGACACACTCACACCCCCCACAGACCGAGCAGTGAGCTGTCCTCCGGCAGCCCACTTTCCTACAGCACCTGAGCTGGGCACTCCAAGGAATGGTGTGCGTGGTTTGTCACCAGATTTTCACACTGGGCCTAGCTCAATAGGTGTGGGCCCTGGGCCTCTTCTCCTTGTCCAGCACAGCTCCTGGACCCTTAGCCCTTCGAGCTTGACTGCCGGGCTAAGAGCCATTTCAGGCAGGTGCCTTTCTGTCCCTGCCAGCAACAGAACTCAGTCCCTGTGACCCTGGCTTCCCCTGTAGTTCCCCTCCCCCTGTTGCCCTCCACTGCTGAATGCAGAAACCTCCAGCTCTGCCTCCCTCTACCACCTCACTGGTGCTAATGCCTCTCTCCCCACTCCCCATCCCACCCCTACTTGCTCCTGAATCAGCCTGACTTAGTTACATCCTTCTAGAGCTCTAACTTCTAACTCTCCTGCCACAATCTCAGAGAAGAGGAACAGAAAGGAAGGCTAAACCAGTCTCCTACCACTACCCCGTCCATACCCCATCACTGATATTTTGTTATTATTATTATTATTTTAATTTGCTATAGGACAGGTGCACTCACCAGAGAGAAAGAGAGAGGGACAGGTGCACTCACCAGAGAGAAAGAAAGAGAGAATCCGAGGGAAAGTGAGGAAGTAAACCACTAGGTCCAGGACTTGAACCACTGTCAGCCATGTGGGAGTCCAGCATGATAACCATCATGCCACCTGCTGGCCCTGATATCTTTTTTTAAAAACAATTATTGTATTTAACTTTATGTATTTATTTATTTTGGAGAGGTTTTTGCCATAGGGCATGTGCGCTCGCCAGAAAGACAGAGAGAGACAGAGAGACAGAAAGTGAGAAAGCACCCCCCAGAGAGGATGGCCACGCCACAATCCCTTCTCCTCCACTCTCCTCTCAGGATCTTGGGCACGCACACGTGCCCAGCATTTAAGCCACGGGGTCTAGAACTCGAACCGTGGTCAGCTACATGGGAGTCCAGCGACATAGCCATTACGCCAACTGCTGGTTCCTATTTATTTATTTTTAATATAATCAGAGAGATACACACAGAGAGAGACAGAGGGAGAGAGAGAGAAAGAGAGAGAGAAAGTGAGAAAGCAAGCTGCCAGGCCTGGGACTCAAACTGCAGTTGACCATGTGGGAGTCTAGTATCTTTAACCACCACATCCCTGCCTCATCTTTTTTTTTAATTGCCAGAAGGCATGTGTGATCACCAGAGACAGAGAAACAGAGACAGAGGGAGAGAGAGAAAGAGAAAACCACCCCCAGTAGGGCTGTGGTCACGCTCCATCCCTGCTCCATTTCTCCATCCTGATGGGATTTGGGGTATGCACAGGTACCTGGCAATGTTTTTCAAGTTGCTGGGCTGGCCATAATTCCAACCACAGTCAGCCATGTGAGATCCAGTTCCCTTAACCACCAGGCTGCAGGACCAACTCGGTGAGTGAACTGGTCTCAATGCAGAGATCCTCCCGCCTCCAGTAACAATGCTTTGGGGTGCATGCCACCACACCTGTAATATTTTAATTGCTTCCCTTTTTCCTCATAGTAATTTTTTTTCACTCTATCTCCTACAGCTCAGGCATCTTCTCCTCTGACCTTTCAAGCCTCCCATTCACCCTACACAGTTGTAGGGGTGAATCTCTCATCTCTCACTCAAGGGAGAGAGCCCCAGGGGAGAGTCAGTAAGTCTCAGAGTTGGCATCAGAGCCAAGACCCAAAGAGAGAAAGGAAGAGACAAAGCAAAAGCTGGCTTCAGGTACAGAAGTTAAAAGTTTGCCAGGTGTGGGGCTGGCAAGTAGCATGGTGGTTAAGCCACTGGACTCCCACGTGGTTGACTGCAGTTTGAGTCCTGGACCTGGTGGCTTGAAAATCACACTAGATATGTGTGCATGCATGCCCAAAATCTGGAGAGAAGAATGGAGAAGGGACTGCTGAGTGGCCATCCCCTTGGGAAGGGGTGATTTATCACTTTCCCTCTCTCTCCGGAGACTGCACATGCCCTGTAGCCAAAAACCTAAAAATATAATGTTTGCCAGGTGTGCTGGTGTGGAGCAATCCATCTGATTTTCATCACCACCACCACGTGAGTAGGAAATATTCTGATTTTTCAGATGAGCAAACTGAAGCCTGGACGGTTCAGTCACTTGTTCCAGGTATATACAGCTACTAGTCAGTGGAGAACAGCTACAGATCACGGGTTTTTTGCACTCTGAATCTCCATTCTTATTTCTGTACTGATGCGAACTTTGACCTGTGAGGGAACAGTTAATTCTCCCAGGAGATTGGGAGATTCGGAACCTATTCATCTACATTTTGGCACTGGAAGAGAACCTACCTCTATCTCATATTTACTGCAAATATTCCTGCGCAATGGAACTTCCCCCCGGTCACCCTATTTAAAATGACTATCTGGGGCCAGCAGGTGGCATGGTGGTTGAGGCACTGGTCTCCCACATGGCTGGCCATGGTTCGAGTCCTGGACCTGGTGACTTGCTTTCTCACTTTGCCTCTCTCTCTAGTCAGATTAAAAACTAATAATAAAATTTCTAAAAAAATTACTATTACCCCAATACTACATCTATACTCCTCCTGTTTCTCCTCTGCATGCATTTATCACATTCAACATGCTAAGTTTTCATTTAAGGTCTCTTTTTTTTTTTTTTTTTGAGGTTTTCGCTATAGGGTGCGTGTGCTCGCTAGACAGAGAGAGATAGAGAGACAGAAAGCGAGAAATCACCCCCCAGGGGGGATGGTCACACCTCAATCCATTCTCCTCCATTCTCCTCTCAGGATCTTGGGCACGCACGCACACGCGCCCGGCGTGAGTTTTTAGCCACTGGGTCCGGGACACGAACCGCAGTCGACTACGTGGGAGTCCAGCGACATAGCCATTACGCTAACTGCTGGTTCCCCTTACTATCTCTTTATCACACCCCTCCCACCAGAAAGTAAGGGCAAGAATATCTGTCTCTTTTGTCTGTTATTCTACTCCTTGCTTGAGGGTGTTTGGCATAAACTAGGTGCTCAATAAAAACTTTATTTATAAAATGAAGAGAAGCCAGAGTGAAGCTTCTCTTTCTTTTTAGAGATATTTTTACTAGAGGGCACATGCACTTGCTGGAGAGAAAGAGAGACAGAAAGTGCGAAATCACCCCTCCCCCTGGGGGGTGGCCACACCACAATCCATTCTCCTCCGTTCTCTTCTCAGGATTTTGGGCATGCACACACGCACACATGCACACACACCTGGCATGAGTTTTAAGCCACCAGGTCTGGGACTTGAACCACAGTCGACTACATGAGAGTCGACGGACGTAACCATTTTGCCATCTGCTGGTTCCCAGAGTGAAGCTTATCTCTTGACCCAATCCTGAGCCTTCCATGGAGCCTCTCAAGTGCTTCTGGTGCTGTAATGTTTGTCCCCTCACCCTGCCCACCCTGGGACTCGGGCCATTCTGAGGGAAGTCACCCTGGCTGCACAGGGCCGGGCGTTCACCCCAGAGCAAGAGCAGCAGCTGGATCCCAAGGTCCCTTTATTATGTGAGAGGCTAATAGGGCCTCATTAAAAACGTATTACCCAGCTCAGTGCAGGCTATGTGGGCAAGAACATGGGCCAGGACCCAGGGTGGGGAGCAATGAGTGGGATGAGGAGAAGTGGGAGGCTGTTTACATGCAAGTGGCATGGCTGGCTAAGTCCTTTGAGACGCTCGGGTGCTGTTTCTAATTGGACCTAGCTGTCTCCCTCCTCCTCGCCTCCTCCCCCAACCACTCTGGAAACCGAGGCCCGAGCTAGGATGGTTGGAAGGAGCTGGGGTGTGCAGGAGGAGGATGGGTTAGAGCAAGAGCTGGGGACCAAAAGCCTCCTGGGTCCCATCTCCGCAACACCCCTCCCCCACCACCCATCCATCCCTGCCCCCAAGCCCTGACACCAGGGAAGCAGGGCTTCGGCAAAGGTCCACCATGAATAATGTCCTTTGATGATACAGCATCTCACAGAGGATGGCAGGGGCCAGGGATGGGGGGAGCAAGGGGAAGGCAGGGAGAAGCGATCACCCCTTGATCTCTGGGATTAGCAAAGACTTGAAAGATTTCTTGATGAACTCAGTTAGAAGGGTGATAAAGGAGGGAAGCATGGGAGGGTTTTTACCTGCAAATCATGTGCAAATGGCATGTGAAGTGGGTGGTGCGGCTCTAGAGTTCCTAGGTGCTTTTTCTGTGAACACCTACTCTTGATTTGAGCCACGACCCAGATGCTGTCACCTACCTAGATAAGCAGGGTACTTGGAGTCCAGGGACCCTAGCACCTCCTTCCCCTTGACCCCCCACCCTTTTCTAGGAGCTAGAGGCGAAGGCAGATGCAGCACATGCCTGTGCACACAGATGACCTGGATATGTCCCCCACGTGCACAGCTCTTGGGCTCTCTCGCCATCCTGGAGGGGTGCTGGTGGGGGGAAGGTCAAGGCTGGGGTCACATGTGACACTGGGTGGAAATACCAGAAAGGAATGAACGATGCAGCTTCTGCATCCTGCCACATCACGCAGCTGGAAGACAGCTGGAGACGACCCACAGGGAACGGACCAAGAATCCCTCGGAGCCTGGGAAGGAAGGACTGAGCCAGGAGGTACGAGCAGGAACTGGGTTAAGCTGTGAGGTGCTACAATGGCTCCTCTCGGGGGCTGGAGAATGGCTGATGCTCCTCAGAGCTGCAAAAACCTAGACTCAGAGAGCGCTGGGAGAGGGGGACAGAGGCGGGGAGGGCAGGAATGGCAGCACCACTCCAGCTTCTCCCATAGTGATGGAGCCCGTCCAGAAAGGTGGGAAACTGAGCCCCGGAGGAATTCGGAGGGTGAAAACACACACACCTGGGCTCCAGAGGAGAGGAGCCAAGCCGCAGAAACAGGAAGAAGGAGGAGGGAGGGAGGGGTGGAAGGGGAAGGACAAGAGGAGCCCCCACCCTTCTGTGAACTGCATCCAGCCACATGACGGTGCCGGTGCCGGAGGATAGGAGAGAGGCCAGGGGCCTCAGTCATCCCCCTCCTACCATCCTCCAGCCGGGGAGCTGACAGTGCCTTCAGCCTCAGGAAAGAAAAAGCAGGACAGAGAGCAGCAGCTGCATATTCTCCTGAAATTGCTTCTGAAAATGACCAGACACTTCACTGGGAAAGTGACGGCAATTTGGGCCCTGGGAGCAGGAGATGAGGCGGAGAGCGGGGGCGATCAGGCTCGGGTCACCACCCCCTCTCGACCAGACAGGATCTTCTCGGCCTGATTCTGAGAAGTCAAGGATGGGGGTCGCTGCTGGGGCTGGGCGGAGGCTGGCCAGAGCCTGAGCCACCCCTGCTCTGCATTCAGCCCCTCTACCTCAAGACAGGTTCTAGCCCCTCACCTGCCTGGGGACAGCTGCCTCCCTGGATCCCATCCCAGCTGAGAGCAGGGCCTGCCAGAGCACGGGGCTTGTGCTCAGAGAGCGAGATTAATCTGCAGGCAGCGCTGAGAAGTTAATCAGGTCTCCCCACCAGCATGATTACCTGGGGCCGTGAGCTGCCTACCGATGGAAGCCAGGTGGAGGGAGACCCCAGCCTCCTGCACCGTGAGCTCAGCAGAGACAGGGAAGAGGCAGGAAGGCAGAGATCATGAGAGGAGGAAGAGACATCCAGAGACAGAAGCAAAGGCAGCCCTTTCCTCGTCAGCGCCTTCCGACCACAGACCTAGATTACACTGCGAATGTGTGAGCTCCTTGTTCCCCAGAGGTAGAGACCAGGATGGCGCTGGGCTGAGACAAGACCGTCTAGGAGGGAACAGAGATGAAGGCGAGTGGAAAAGTATGGAAAGCACTATACAAAATATTGCGTATTAATAGTAGTCCGTGCCCACAGAAACCAGGACGACAAGATGATGTCAGACGGCTGGAGACAGAAAGATCATGACACTTACACAGAGAAATAAATGAAGACAAGAGTAAAGGGGTCGAGTCACACGGATGGGAGAGGATGGGTGGGGAAGCCTCCCCCTTTCCGTCACCAGCTGCAGGCCCCAGCTGTGGGACAGTGATTAGAAAGAGATCTGTTAGCAGCAGCTTGGCAGCTCTGGTGTATGGAAAGGAAGGGGTGCCAGGGAGGCAGGTGTGACATACCCAGTGCTGAGCCGGGGGCGGGGGTGGCATGGAGCTCTGAGATGCAGAGGACCCTGCATTCCCCAGCTTGCATAAGCCCTCTAGCCTTGAGCCTTTTCAGGCTCAATCTCCCGAAGATCCCAGTTTCCACCAAGACAGGAATCTTGCTTCATCCCTCCAAGGACACACTTAATGAAACAGCCCAGTGGCCACCTGCGACCTGAGCCCCATCCCTGTCTCCCCTGCCCCCACCCCAGTCTCTCCAAACCCTGCCAGAGCTCAGCCGGTGGAGGAGCCCAAGACAATTTCCCTTCTTCTCCTCTCTTGTTATCTGCGCTGACTGGCTCCAGGGAGCCCGAGGGAGGGGAAGGACAGAGGGCAAGGGATGTCCAAGTACAACTGGGTGCAAAATGGGGGAGCAGGGATGCATCCACGCTGACCAAGCCCTTTAGAAGTTACGTGTTTTATTAGTAGGCAAAGAGGCTGAGGGGGGACGAAGCTAGGCTTGGTGGAGAGGACTGGCAAGGTTTGAAAGAAGAAAGTCCTCTTCGAGGGTTCTTCTGTCTCCAAATGCCATCCTACGATCAGAGGGTGAGGCGGGACATCCTCCCACAGAGGTGGGCAGAGAGGGAGTTAGCGCTGGTCCACTGATCCGGGAGGAAAAAGCTGCCATCTCTGGCTTGGCCCCGCCTCCTCACTGCACAGTCACCTCCAGACAACTGCTCCCCTTCTTCTTGCAGCTTAGCTTGCTATCCCCACCACCCCCTGGGCCCTGGATGACCTTGACAGCAACGGTGCCCTCCTTGAATTTCACTGAGAACCTGGAAGGGGAGCAGAAAAGCCAAAACTAGTTCCCCATCCCCTCGCCCCCACTCCCACAGTTCCACAAAGCAAGGATGTGTGCATCTCCCACCCCTTGGGGGATGGCTCCAGGCCCCAGAGAACTTGGGTGCGAGGACCAAGAAACATCCCAGCCCTGTTCCGTACAGTATGTTTCACTCTCCGATTGTACGAATTTCCTCGGTCACGGTGACCATCAGCCGGTCGTCGGCACCCAGCTGCCCCTCACCCCCAGCTCAGGGCCTTACGTCTCAGTCACGGTGACGGGAAGCTGCTTCTGCGTAGCAGCCAGCACTGCC